GCTCCTGTAAGTCGCTCTGGATAAGAGCGTCTGCTAAATAACTAAAAATGTAAAAAAATGTGATTGGGTGCACTCGCCACTCCCTGAGGTGGAACCAGAGCGCTGGGCAGATTATGCAGAGTTTGGAGCACTTCCTGCATGGCGGCGTTCAACTGGGCAAGCTGCTGGTGCTGGTCGAGGCACTGGGAAACTCCTGCTGCATCCATTTTCGTGAGTGGTGTGTAATTCTGTGACGAGTACTGAGTATACGAAGAGGCAGGACGCAGACGCAGGAATTAACAAGGTAAAGGTTTACTTAACAATGAGAAAGAGAATAACAAAGAGCAAGTAAACAACAAGACACTAACAATTACACACAACAATGAACGAAAAGTCCAGTGCTATATAGTGGTGGTGATGAGATGATGAGGTGCAGGTGCGCTGGAGGTGATTAGGGTGCGTTGGGTTTCCATTCCTGTGTTTGCTGAGGTGGTGCGCTCAGACCGGTGGCTCAGTACACCGGCGAATCAGAGCACCGGAGGGGAGCAACGGGAGGAGATGTAACACCATGCACCTTATTATGTGACTTGTTAAGTACATCTTTACTTCTGAATTTATTTAGGCTTGCCATAACAAAACGATTGAATGCTTAAAAAACATGATTCCACTTCGACATTATGGGGTATTGTGTGTAGATCAGTGACAGAACATTACATTTTTATTTTTTATTTTATTTAGGCCATAACACAACAGAATGTGGAAAAAGTCAAGGGGTGTGAATACTTTCTGAAGTCATAGCTACTTCAATTACTCGGGACTGGTACTCCCTGTATATAACCATGTTATTTTTACTAGTTATTGTTATTCATTATTCACTGTGTATTTATTCCTTGTGTCACTTTTTATTTTGTATTTCTTTTATCTTTAACTCTGTATTGTTGGTCTACACCTGTTGTTCACGAAGCATGTGACAAGAAAATGTGATTTGATTTTAATCTAGGGTTAGGGTTGTGGTTAAGGGTTGAACCGGGATGTGGACATAAAAGCTAGGGTTAGATTTGTAGTTGAGGATAAGGTTGAACCAGGATGTGGACATGAAGCTAGTGTTAGGGTTAGTGTTGGGGTTGAAGCTAGGGTTAGGGTGAACTGGAATCTGGACATAAAGATAGGGTTAGGGTTGAGGTTGAATTGTGAAAATAGGATTCATCTCTCAGATTTGCCATTTCACTTTCATTTTGCCATTTCACTTTCAAATCAAATTAAATGCATTTGCCACACGCGCCGAATACAACAGGTGTAGACATTACCGTGAAATGCTTACTTACAGCCCTTAACCAACAATGCATTTATTTCTTCATAAAAAAGTAAAATAAAACAACAACAACAAAAAAGTGTTGAGAAAAAAAGAGCAGAAGTTAAATAAAATAACAGTAGGGAGGCTATATACAGGGGGGTACCGGTGCAGAGTCAATGTGCGGGGGCACCGGCTAGTTGAGGTAGTTGAGGTAATATGTACATGTGGGTAGAGTTAAAGTGACTATGCATAAATCATTAACAGAGAAGCAGCAGCGTTCAGGAGTCTTATGGCTTGGGGGTAGAAGCTGTTGAGAAGCCTTTTGGACCTAGACTTGGCGCTCCGGTACCGCTTGCCGTGCGGTAGCAGAGAGAACAGTCTATGACTAGGGTGGCTGGAGTCTTTGACAATTTTGAGGGCCTTCCTCTGACACCGCCTGGTATAGAGGTCCTGGATGGCAGGAAGCTTGGCCCCAGTGATGTACTGGGCCGTACGCACTACCCTCTGTAGTGCCTTGCAGTCGGAGGCCGAGCAGTTGCCATAGCAGGTGGTGATGCAACCAGTCAGGATGCTCTCGATGGTGCAGCTATAACTTTTTGAGGATCTGAAGACCCATGCCAAATCTTTTCAGTCTCCTGAGGGGGAATAGGCTTTGTCGTGCCCTCTTCGTGACTGTTTTGGTGTGTTTGGACCATGATAGTTCGTTGGTGATGTGGACACCAAGGAACTTGAAGCTCTCAACCTGTTCCACTACAGCCCCGTCAATGAGAATGGGGGCGTGCTCGGTCCTCTTTTTTTCCCTGTAGTCCACAATCATCTCCTTTGTCTTGGTCAAGTTGAGGGAGAGGTTGTTATCCTGGCACCACACGGCCAGGTCTCTGACCTCCTCCCTATAGGCTGTCTCATCGTTGTCGATGATCAGGCCTACCACTGTTGTGTCGTCGGCAAACTTAATGATGGCGTTGGAGTCGTGCCTGGCCATGCAGTCATGGGTGAACAGGGAGTACAGGAGGGGTCTGAGCATGCACCCCTGAGGGGCCCCCGTGTTGAGGATCAGCGTGGCAGATGTGTTGTTACCTACCCTTACCACCTGGGGGGCGGCCCGTCAGGAAGTCCAGGATCAAGTTGCAGAGGGAGGTGTTTAGTCCCAGGATCCTTAGCTTAGTGATGAGCTTTGAGGGCACTATGGTATTGAATGCTGACCTGTAGTCAATGAATAGCATTCTCACGTACAATTGAAGTCAGAACTTTACATACACTTAGGTTGGAGTCATTAAAACTCATTTTTCAACCACTCCACACATTTCTTGTTAACAAAATATAGTTTTGGCAAGTCGGTTAGGACATCTACTTTGTGCATGACACAAGTAATTTTTCCAACAATTGTTTACAGACAGATTATTTCACTTATAATTCACTGTATCACAATTCCAGTGGGTCAGAAGTTTACATACACTAAGTTGACTGTGCCTTTAAACAGCTTGGAAAATACCAGAAAATGATGTTATGGCTTTAGAAGCTTCTGATAGTCTAATTGACATAATTTGAGTCAATTGGAGGTGTACATGTGGATGTATTTCAAGGCCTACCTTCAAACACAGTGCCTCTTTGCTTGACATCATGGGAAAATAAAAAAAAATCAGCCAAGACCTCAGAAAACAAATTGTAGACCCCCACAAGTCTGGTTTATCCTTGGGAGCAATTGCCAAACGCCTGAAGGTACCACGTTCATCTGTACAAACAATAGTATGCAAGTATAAACACCATGGGACCACGCAGCCGTCATACCGCTCAGGAAGGAGACACCTTCTGTCTCCTATAGACAAACATACTTTGGTGCGAAAAGTGCAAATCAATCCCAGAACAACAGCAAAGGACCTTGTGAAGATGCTGTAGGAAACAGGTACAAAAGTATCTATATCCACAGTAAAACGAGTCCTATATCGACATAACCAGAAAGGCCGCTCAGCAAGGAAGAAGCCACTGCTCCAAAATCGCCATAAAAGAGCCAGACTATGGTTTGCAACTGCATATGGGGATAAAGATCGTACTTTTTGGAGAAATGTCCTCTGGTCTGATGAAACAAAAATAGAACTGTTCGGCCATAACGACCATCGCAAATGGGTCTTCCAAATGGACAATGACCCCAAGCATACTTCCAAAGTTGTGGCAAAATGGCTTAAGGACAACAAAGTCAAGGTATTGGAGTGGCCATCACAAAGCCCTGACCTCAATCCTATAGAAAATGTGTGGGCAGAACTGAAAAAGCGTGTGCGAGCAAGGAGGCCTACAAACCTGACTCAGTTACACCAGCTCTGTCAGGAGGAATGGGCCAAAATTCACCCAACTTATTGTGGGAAGCTTGTGGAAGGCTACCCGAAACGTTTGACCCAAGTTAAATAATTTAAAGGCAATGCTACCAAATACTAATTGAGTGTATGTAAACTTCTGACCCACTGGGAATGTGATGAAATAAATAAAAGCTGAAATAAACAATTATTTCTACTATTATTCTGACATTTCACATTCTTAAAATAATGTGGTGAACCTAACTGACTTAAAACAGGGCATTTTTACTAGGATTAAATGTCAGGAATTGTGAAAAACTGAGTTTAAATGTATTTGGCTAAGGTGTATGTAAACATCCGACTTCAACCGTAGGTGTTCCTCTTGTTCAGGTGGGAAAGGGCAGTGTGGATTGCAATAGAGATTGCATTATCTGTGGATCTGTTGGGGCGGTATGCAAATTGTAGTGTGTCTAGGGTTTCTGGGATAATGGTGTTGATGTGAGCCATGGCCAGCCTTTCAAAGGTAATACAAAGGAGTCAGGAAGAGTTTGGGGCGCCCCCAAGCCTGACAGTGTAGAAAGGTGACTTCCTTGTTTTAGTAATCTATTTCACATCAATAAAGGGTTGTGACATACGCCTCCTATAATTCAGACGAGTTATCAGTGTTATGAGCTACAAGGCATGTTGAGCACCTTCTCAGAAGATTTACTTCATTCAGATTCTGCATCCTCCGCCTCTCAATTACAGGTACATTACTGTAGCATTGACATTATATAAACTAAAAAGGAATGACTGTAAACCCTATCTTTGGTATTCAGCCAATAGTTACTTTGATGTCTCACCTGTCAATACTAGGATGTATTTGGTTATAATTCTGCCTAGATAATGATGTGTGTGTGCAGCCAGTGAATACTGAAACGGACAACCTTATGTTAGGTCAAAGGTATGACTATGTTTTTCTCAAATTTCTTGCTTCAGAAGAGGGTCTGGTGAATTTGTGGTTTTATTTAATCAGATTTTTTCAGTTTTTTTCAATTCTCATGTATTCCCTTAGCCAGTTTATTTTAGTGAGATTTTCAGACGTCTGAGATCATGACTATTAATCACGTTTGTCAGTGCTGTTTCGTTATGTACAGATTCTATGAGTATTATATATCAATATCCATTTTCTATACAGTTGCCTACTATTTCCAAACTGTACAATTGACACACTTTTACTCCCACAGCCTCGTAACTTCTATATTTAATGTAGGTCATTTAGCAGACACTCTTATCCAGTGACATACAGTTGGTGAATTCAACTAAGGCAAGACGACCACGGCCACCTAACCTAACCTAACATTGAATTTATAAGCATACTGTATGTATCTAAATAATAGTGTTACATGTCTTACTTCAAATTCTCCTTATTTCACATTTCAGGACACCAAGGGGAGAGGATGGGGAATGAGAGCAATACATCTGTCGACAATGGTATACCTAAATCATACAGAGATGCATTGCTGTCAATATACACTATTGTGCTCATTGGAGGGACCATCAGCATGTCCCTCATGATCAACATCATCAAGTCCAACGTCCGCTCGGTGACCACTACAGCTGTTCTGAACCTGATCGTGGTCCACTTCCTCTTCCTCCTGACCGTGCCCTTTCGCCTTTATTTCTACGTTGCCGGCAAGTGGCATCTTGGTCCTAACTACTGCAAGGTGGTCAGTGCCATGATCCACGCCCACATGTACTTAGCCTTCGTCTTCTACGCGATCATTCTGGTGATCCACTACCTGAGTTTCTTCAGGAGGTCCAGGCAGGTGGAGTTCTACAGGAGGCTTCATGCCCTGGGGGCCAGTGCTGCTGTCTGGGCCCTCATGCTCATTGTGGTGGTCCCTTTGACTGCTGTGAAGTATGGATCATCTACAGATAATAACACAACAACCAATGACGACCAGTGCTTCAATTTCGGAAGGATCTTTGATGAGAAACATACTGTGGCTGTGCTGAACTACATCCTCTGTGCTCTCATCATCGTGGTTACATTGGCCCCGGCCTGTTGCCAAGTGTTGATTTTGGGCTGTGTGTACAGAACTCACAAGGCGATGATCTTCTCTCAACAGGAGTTTTGGGCTCAGATCAAAAGTCTTTGCTTTATGCTGGTCATTATAGTATGCTTTAATCCATACAATGCATTCAGGATTTACTATGTGAGTAATTATGATGTCAGTCTCCAAGTGAAGATTTGGCGAGGGTTCCCTCAGAAGTGGGTGATAGCACGGGAACAGGTGGATTGGGTGCACTCGCCACTCCCTGAGGTGGAACCGGAGCGCTGGGCATATTATGCAGAGTTTGGAGCACTTCCTGCATGGCGGCGTTCAACTGGGCAAGCTGCTGGTGCTGGTCGAGGCACTGGGAAACTCCTGCTGCATCCATTTCCGTGAGTGGTGTGTAATTCTGTGACGAGTACTGAGTATACGAAGAGGCAGGACGCAGACGCAGGAATTAACAAGGTAAAGGTTTACTTAACAATGAGAAAGAGAATCACAAAGAGCGAGTAAACAACATGACGCTAACAATTACACACAACAATGAACGAACAGTCCAGTGCTACATAGTGGTGGTGATGAGATGATGAGGTGCAGGTGCGCTGGAGGTGATTAGGGTGCGTTGGTTTTCCATTCCTGTGTTTGCCGAGGTGGTGCGCTCAGACCGGTGGCTCAGTACACCGGCGAATCAGAGCACCGGAGTGGAGCAACGGGAGGAGATGTGACACCATGCATCTTATTATGTGACTTGTTAAGTACATCTTTACTTCTGAATTTATTTAGGCTTGCCATAATAAAAGGATTGAATGCTTAATTAATTTGTAAACATTTCTAAAAACATAATTCCACTTCGACATTATGTGTCACGCCCTGACCTTGAGAGCCCTGTTTTTCTCTAGTTGGTTTGGTCAGGGTGTGAATTCTAGATTTTGTATTTCAATGTTGGCCGGGTGTGGTTCCCAATCAGAGGCAGCTGTCGATCGTTGTCTCTGATTGGGGATCATACTTAGGCAGCCATTTTGCCTACCTTAGTTGTGGGATCTTGTTTCTGTTTTGGCTTGTGGTTGGGTAGCCTGTTGAACTTCACGGTCGTTTGTATTTTGTTGTTTTGATCTGTATTCAGTTAATAAAGGAATATGTACGCATACCACGCTGCACCTTGGTCTGATCCGTCTATCAACGAGCGTGACAGAAGATCCCACAACCAACGGACCAAGCAGCGTGGCCAGGAAGAGCAGACATCTTGGACATGGGAGGATATTTTGGACGGTAAGGGATCCTGGACTTGGGAAGAAATCCAGGCAGGAATGGATCGCCTCTCATGGGAGCAGACGGAGGCAGCGAGGGAGGATAAACGGTGACTCCGAAGTTCACGACGACGAAGGAAGCCCGAGAGGCAGCCCCAATAAAACAATTTTTTTGGGGGCACACGGGGTGGTTGGTGAAGCAGCAGGAGGCCCTGAAAGGGCTGACTGTGGAGGAGGAGGAGGAGGCCGCTATGATAGAGGCTCTCCAAGACCTGCAGCTCAGCACTCTGAGAGAGGAGACCACCACCTTATGGGGGATGTTAGCTAAGAGAGAGCAGGGGATCTCCCTTCAGAGGGAGGCGTTGCAGGAGGCCCACAGGGAGGAGTCAGTGGATGCACTGAGAGAGGAGCTGGCCAGGCAACAGGAGGAGCTGAGAGAGGAGTTAACCCTCTTGCAGCAGAGAGCTCAGTCCTTAGAGCAGAGGCTGGCGGAGTCAGGTTTCAGAGTAGAGCCAACTCCCGCACTCGCGTTAAGGAGCGTGGAACCGTTCAGGCACCCTGTTATGCTGTGATACACACTATCTCCAGTGCGCATTCACAGCCTGGTGCGCTTGGTGCCCGCGCCCCGCACTTGCCGGGCTAAAGTGAGTGTCCAGCCAAGACGGGTTGTGCCTGCTCCTCGCACCAAACCAGTGGTGCGTGTCTCCAGTCCGGTATGGCCCGTGCCTGCTCCTCGCACCAGACCAGTGGTGCGTGTCTCCAGTCCGGTACGGCCCGTGCCTGCTCCTCGCACCAGACCAGTGGTGCGTGTCCACAGCCCGGTACGGCCCGTTCCAGCGCCACGCACCCGACCTCCAGCGAGGGTCCTCTGCTCCACCCCGGTGCCAGAGCAGTCCGCTCCACCGGTGCCTAGTCCAGCTCTGGTCAGTGGCTCCACTCCAGTGCCAGATTAGTCAGTTTCACCGGTGCCCAGTTCAGCTCCGGTTAGCTGCTCACTCCTGTGCTGGAGCAGTCCGCTCCACCGGTGTCTAGTCCAGCTCCGGTTATCTGCTCTTCCCCCATGCCGAAGCCATCCGCTCCACCGGGGTCCGAGCCGGAACCAGACGTCAACCCCTCTCCAGGGTCGGGGTCTCCCCTCCCACACCAGGGTCCAGACAGGGCTTGGTGCATCGCGGAAGGACTGCCGGGCCGGAACCAGATGTCGGCCCCTCTCCGGGGTCGAGGGCTCTCACACCAGGGTCCAGACAGGGCTTGGTGCATCGCAGGAGGACTGCCGGGCCGGAACCAGATGTCGGCCCCTCTCCGGGGTCGAGGGCTCCCACACCAGGGTCCAGACAGGGCTTGGTGCATCGCGGGAGGACTGCTGGGCCGGGACCAGGCGTCAGCTCCTCTCCAGGGTCGAGGGCTCCCACACCAGGGTCCGGACAGGGCTTGGTGCATCGTGGAAGGACTGAGAGGGGAAGCATCGCGCCGGGGTCCAGACCGGACCGGGTGTGCAACGGGGAGGCAGGAAGGGAGAAGAGGTTAATACCGACGTCGCGCCCGAAGCCGGAGCCGCCTCCAAGGCTAGATGCCCACCCGGACCCTCCCCTAATGAGTCAGGTTGGTGCCGGAGTACGCACCATTTGGTTTGGTCAGGGTGTGAATTCTAAATTTTGTATTTCTATGTTGGCCGGGTGTGGTTCCCAATCAGAGGCAGCTGTCGATCGTTGTCTCTGATTGGGGATCATACTTAGGCAGCCATTTTGCCTACCTTAGTTGTGGGATCTTGTTTCTGTTTTGGCTTGTGGTTGTGTAGCCTGTTGAACTTCTCGTTTGTATTGTGTTGTATCTGTATTCAGTTAATAAAGGAATATGTACGCATACCACGCTGCACCGTCTATCAACGAGCGTGACATTATGGGGTATTGTGTGTAGATCAGTGACACAACATTCCATTTTTATTTTTTATTTTATTCAGGCCATAACACAACAGAATGTGGAAAAAGTCTAGGGGTGTGAATACTTTCTGAAGGCATAGCTACTTCAATTACCTCGTACCCCTGCACATCTACTCGGGACTGGTACTCCCTGTATATAACCATGTTATTTTTACTCGTTATTGTTATTCATTATTCACTGTGTACTTATTCCTTGTGTCACTTTTTATTTTGTGTTTTTTTTTATCTTTAACTCTGTATTGTTGGTCTACACCTGTTGTTCACGAAGCATGTGACAAGAAAATGTGATTTGATTTTAATCTAGGGTTAGGGTTGTGGTTAAGGGTTGAACCGGGATGTGGACATAAAGCTAGGGTTTGAGTTGTAGTTGAGGCTAGGGTTAGGGTGAACTGGAATGTGGACATAAAGCTAGGGTTAGTGTTGGGGTTGAAGCTAGGGTTAAGGTGTACCTGAATCTGGACATAAAGATAGGGTTAGGGTTGTGGTTGAATTGTGAAAATAAGGATTCCTCTCTCAGATTTTTGCCATTTCACTTTCAAATAAAATAAAATAACATTGTATTTGCCACATGCGCCGAATACAACAGGTGTAGACATTACCGTGAAATGCTTACTTACAGCCCTTAACCAACAATGCATTTATTTCTTAATAAAAAATTAAAATACAACAACAACAAAAGTGTTGAGAAAAAAAGAGCAGAAGTAAAATAAAATAACAGTAGGGAAGCTTTATATACAGGGGGGTACCGGTGCAGAGTCAATGTGCGGGGGCACCGGCTAGTTGAGATAGTTGAGGTAATATGTACATGTGGGTAGAGTTAAAGTGACAATGCATAAATAATTAACAGAGTAGCAGCGTAAAAAGATGGGGAGGGGGTGCAAATAGTCCGGGTAGCCATGATTAGCTGTTCAGGAGTCTTATGGCTTGGGGGTAGAAGCTGTTGAGAAGCCTTTTGGACCTAGACTTGGCGCTCCGGTACCGCATGCCGTGCGGTAGCAGAGAGAACAGTCTATGACTAGGGTGGCTGGAGTCTTTGACAATTTTGAGGGCCTTCCTCTGACACCGCCTGGTAAAGAGGTCCTGGATGGCAGGAAGCTTGGCCCCAGTGATGTACTGGGCCGTACGCACTACCCTCTGTAGTGCCTTGCGGTCGGAGGCCGAGCAGTTGCCATACCAGGTGGTGATGCAACCAGTCAGGATGCTCTCGATGGTGCAGCTATAGAACTTTTTGAGGATCTGAGGACCCATGCCAAATCTTTTCAGTCTCCAGAGGGGGAATAGGCTTTGTCGTGCCCTCTTCGTGACTGTCTTGGTGTGTTTGGACCATGATAGTTCGTTGGTGATGTGGACACCAAGGAACTTGAAGCGCTCATCCTGTGCCACTACAGCCCCGTCAATGAGAATGGGGGCGTGCTCAGTCCTCTTTTTTTTCCTGTAGTCCACAATCATCTCCTTTGTCTTGGTCAAGTTGAGGGAGAGGTTGTTATCCTGGCACCACACGGCCAGGTCTCTGACCTCCTCCCTATAGGCTGTCTCATCGTTGTCGGTGATCAGGCCTACCACTGTTGTGTCGTCGGCAAACTTAATGATGGTGTTGGAGTCGTGCCTGGCCATGCAGTCATGGGTGAACAGGGAGTACAGGAGGGGTCTGAGCATGCACCCCTGAGGGGCCCCCGTGTTGAGGATCAGCGTGGCAGATGTGTTGTTACCTACCCTTACCACCTGGAAGGCCCGTCAGGAAGTCCAGGATCCAGTTGCAGAGGGAGGTGTTTAGTCCCAGGATCCTTAGCTTAGTGATGAGCTTTGAGGGCACTATGGTGTTGAACGCTGAGCTGTAGTCAATTAATAGCATTCTCACGTACAGTTGAAGTCGGAAGTTTACATACACTTAGGTTGGAGTCATTAAAACTCATTTTTCAACCACTCCACACATTTCTTGTTAACAAATTATAGTTTTGGCAAGTCGGTTAGGACATCTACTTTGTGCATGACACAAGTAATTTTTCCAACAATTGTTTACAGACAGATTATTTCACTTATAATTCACTGTATCACAATTCCAGTGTCTCAGAAGTTTACATACACTAAGTTGACTGTGTCTTTAAACAGCTTGGAAAATACCAGAAAATGATGTTATGGCTTTAGAAGCTTCTGATAGGCTAATTGACATAATTTGAGTCAATTGGAGGCCTACCTTCAAACACAATGCCTCTTTGCTTGACATCATGGGAAAATCCAAAGAAATCAGCCAAGACCTCAGAAAACAAATTGTAGACCCCCACAAGTCTGGTTTATCCTTGGGAGCAATTTCCAAACGCCTGAAGGAACCACGTTTATCTGTACAAACAATAGCATGCAAGTATAAACACCATGGGACCACGTAGACATCATACCGCTCAGGAAGGAGACACGTTCTGTCTCCTAGAGACAAACATACTTTGGTGCGAAAAGTGCAAATCAATCCCAGAACAACAGCAAAGGACCTTGTGAAGATGCTGTAGGAAACAGGTACAAAAGTATCTATATCCACAGTAAAACGAGTCCTATATCGACATAACCAGAAAGGCCGCTCAGCAAGGAAGAAGCCACTGCTCCAAAATCGCCATAAAAGAGCCAGACTATGGTTTGCAACTGCATATGGGGACAAAGATCGTACTTTTTGGAGAAATGTCCTCTGGTCTGATGAAACAAAAATAGAACTGTTCGGCCATAACGACCATCGCAAATGGGTCTTCCAAATGGACAATGACCCCAAGTATACTTCCAAAGTTGTGGCAAAATGGCTTAAGGACAACAAAGTCAAGGTATTGGAGTGGCCATCACAAAGCCCTGACCTCAATCCTATAGAAAATGTGTGGGCAGAACTGAAAAAGCGGTGCGAGCAAGGAGGCCTACAAACCTGACTCAGTTACACCAGCTCTGTCAGGAGGAATGGGCCAAAATTCACCCAACTTATTGTGGGAAGCTTGTGGAAGGCTACCCGAAACGTTTGACCCAAGTTGAACAATTGAAAGGCAATGCTACCAAATACTAATTGAGTGTATGTAAACTTCTGACCCACTGGGAATGTGATGAAAGAAACAAAAGCTGAAATAAATAATTCTCTCTACTATTATTCTGACATTTCACATTCTTAAAATAAAGTGGTGATCCTAACTGACCTAAGACAGGGCATTTTTACTAGGATTAAATGTCAGGAATTGTGAAAAACTGAGTTTAAATGTATTTGGCTAAGGTGTATGTAAACATCCGACTTTAACCGTAGGTGTTCCTCTTGTTCAGGTGGGAAAGGGCAGTGTGGAGTGCAATAGAGATTGCATTATCTGTGGATCTGTTGGGGCAGTATGTCAATTGGAGTGTGTCTAGGGTTTCTGGGATAATGGTGTTGATGTGAGCCATGACCAGCCTTTAAAAGGTAAAACAAAGGAATCAGGAAGTGTTTGGGGCTCCCCCAAGCCTGACAGTGTAGAAAGGTGACTTCCTTGTTTTAGTAATCTATTTCACATCAAGAAAGGGTTGTGACATACGCCTCCTATAATTCAGACGAGTTATCAGTGTTATGAGCTACAAGGCATGTTGAGCACCTTCTCAGAAGATTTACTTCATTCAGATTCTGCATCCTCCGCCTCTCAATTACAGGTCCATTACTGTAGCATTGACATTATATAAACTAAAAAGGAATGACTGTAAACCCTATCTTTGGTATTCAGCCAATAGTTACTTTGATGTCTCACCTGTCAATACTAGGATGTATTTGGTTATAATTCTGCCTAGATAATGATGTACTTCACTATCAATTTCATATCAAACAAAGATATGGGATCTCCACACATACTGTAGTATTGGCCACAAGCCACACGCAGAAAAAACATTCTGAGTCAATAATTATCCAGCTGTACCACCTGACAGGTCGTATCTGCATTCCAATGGCTCTGCTGGAGAGGCCAGTTCTAAGGTGTGTGTGCAGCAAGTGAATACTGAAACGGACAACCTTATGTTAGGTCAAAGGTATGACTATGTTTTTCTCTAATTTCTTGCTTCAGAAGAGGGTCAAGTGAATTTGTGGTTTTATTTAATCAGATCTTTTCTGTTTTATTCAATTCTCATGTATTCCCTTAGCCAGTTTATTTTAGTGAGATTTTCAGACGTCTGAGATCATGACTATTAATCACGTTTGTCAGTGCTGTTTAGTTATGTACAGATTCTATGAGTATTATATATCAGTATCCATTTTCTATACAGTTGCCTACTATTTCCAAACTGTACAATTGACACACTTTTACTCCCACAGCCTCGTAACTTCTACATTTAATGTAGGTCATTTAGCAGACGCTCTTATCCAGTGACATACAGTTGGTGAATTCAACTAAGGCAAGACGACCACGGCCACCTAACCTAACCTAACATTGAATTTATAAGCATACTGTATGTATCTAAATAATAGTGTTACATGTCTTATTTCAAATACTCCTTATTTCACATTTCAGGACACCAAGGGGAGAGGATGGGGAATGAGAGCAATACATCTGTCGACAATGGCATACCTAAATCATACAGAGATGCATTGCTGTCAATATACACTATTGTGCTCATTGGAGGGACCATCAGCATGTCCCTCATGATCAACATCATCAAGTCCAACGTCCGCTCGGTGACCACTACAGCTGTTCTGAACCTGATCGTGGTCCACTTCCTCTTCCTCCTGACCGTGCCCTTTCGCCTTTATTTCTACGTTGCCGGCAAGTGGCATCTTGGTCCTAACTTCTGCAAGGTGGTCAGTGCCATGATCCACGCCCACATGTACTTAGCCTTCGTCTTCTACGTGATCATTCTGGTGATCCGCTACCTGAGTTTCTTCAGGAGGTCCAGGCAGGTGGAGTTCTACAGGAGGCTTCATGCCCTGGGGGCCAGTGCTGCTGTCTGGGCCCTCATGCTCATTGTGGTGGTCCCTTTGACTGCTGTGAAGTATGGATCATCTACAGATAATAACACAACAACCAATGACGACCAGTGCTTCAATTTCGGAAGGATCTTTGATGAGAAACATACTGTGGCTGTGCTGAACTACATCCTCTGTGCTCTCATCATCGTGGTTACATTGGCCCTGGCCTGTTGCCAAGTGTGGATTTTGGGCTGTGTGTACAGAACTCACAAGGCGATGATCTTCTCTCAACAGGAGTTTTGGGCTCAGATCAAAAGTCTTTGCTTTATGCTGGTCATTATAGTATGCTTTGTTCCATACAATGCATTCAGGATTTACTATGTGAGTAATTATGATGTCAGTCTCCAAGTGAAGAATGAGCTTGCCCTTGCTTTCACGACGTTCAGCTGCTTTGACATGCTGACTTTTATAGGGAGGGGGTCGTTCAGACACTGTGATACAATATGTTGTGTATCATAAGAATAACATGAGAATGTAATTTTTCTTAAGATAGTGTGATGCATAGAATTTAATGTGATAGTAACATTAGAATATGATTCTATTTGCACCTTAATACCAAATTATAAAACTCTTTGATATACTTACTTCACAGCAAAACAGTATCACAAGTAACAGCTACTTCAGTATATACAGTACCTCGTTCTAGCTGTTCCCTAAGTGGGATACACCCTTCAGGTCAAATCAGAAAAGTAATGAAAACAAATAGTGGAGCTGTGTTTATTGTTTTTGTTGTTCTGGAACATCATACAAAGCAGTTACACACTCCCACCACATGGATGGGTTTCTACAAATTAGCTAAACTGATTCTGATTTAACAGTCACCTACAGTTTGGCATACCGTAACACATTAGCATAAAATAAACATACAGTGAATGATCAACCATTTGATGTGAATGATCAAATTTTGATAAACCATGCATTCTTTATCATATTTTTTTACAACTACATTTTCAAGTGAAGGATATACATTTACATTTTAGTCATTTAGCAGACGCTCTTATCCAGAGCGACTTACAGTTAGTGAATGCATACATTTTCATACTGGCCCCCCGGGGGAAACGAACCCACAACCCTGGCGTTGCAAGCGCCATGCTCTACCAACTGAGCTACATGTTTGATTAAAATGTTACTCTTTGTTTATTCAGTGTTTCTTGTGTTCACATTTCCCTCCCTTTTGGGAAAACATTTCCATATGAATTAGGAAGGAATAATATAGTAACAATTGATCTACATAGTATGGCTGCATCAATGAAATTGCTCATCAGTGACATTTTAAAGCATGTTACATAGAAAGTATAGGCATGCACAATGCATAACAGGGTTGGGGTCAATTCCAGACAATTTAGGAAGTACACTGAAATGCCAATTCCCTACAATACCTTTCAATTAGGAAAATGTGGGATTGGAATTGGAATTTGGTTTACTGTCTGAATTGATTGGATTTGAAATGGAATTGACCCAAACCCTGGTGCATAATGGCATCATATAATTTGGCAAGCATTTATTACACATACATACCCACTTTAGTGGTGCTTGGCTTCAACAACAGCACTGCAAACTGTTACACTAACTTGGAATTAAAAAAGTGTATCTTAAAGTACTGGTTGCTACATCTGTGATCAACATCAATAGTGATACAGTCTCAGGTGAAAACTACAACTCCAAACAAAGCATACAAAAAGTACAAAATAGTGTACGTGCATTTTTAAAGAAACACTGCACAAATTAAGATGTTGACAGAGCTAGTGTAATCTATTCTGTAAATAATGCCGATATCCAAGGTAGTGGTGTTGTTTAACAAAAACCTGTGATCTGTGACGTATACTGTATAACATATGCTATAAAAAATGGGGCATTCTCTGGATTATATTTCTGAAGGAAGTATGAGATCAAAATGCTCAAATCCTTTCAGTCACTACAGCAACCACATAAACTGTAGTCCACCTGTAGATTCTACTACCTGGAAACCCACTGTCAACCAGCACCATTATAACCCAATCTTTACATGCTCTTTGCAGTTCCTTGCATCCTCTAGTTAGATGGATCCTGAAAAATTACTTAAATCACTATTTGCCAACCTCAGGCTTTAGCCCTCATCCATTGTTAAATAAGCTGATGTTTGGCCCAATCTCCATATTAAAAACAGGTGTCTCTCCCAGCCAAGGGCTGAGGGAACCATTGCGTCGAATTCTACACAGTTTCATTATTTCCCGTTGACTCTACAGTTTTTCTGTCATAACAAACTACACCGTTTGTGTTACTCTGTGAGACTTTGTGGTGGTGAGTGCAGGCCCGACTCAGTGTTCAGGCCTGAAAGTTAACTGTTTCCCCGATTCTTCTGCCCTGACTTTGGCAGAGCGTTTGTGGAGGATTCCTGACTTTCTTCCATGTCAGCTCCTGCTCCAATATAAAGATTATGGAGAATGTAAAGAATATGTTATCTACATGCTGCAACACAGTGACAGCTGCAGTAAATATAATAATGATAGCTCTTTCTTTTGAAACAGAATGGCTACGTCTCAAATGGCATCCTATTCCCTATATAGTGCACTATATTTGACCAAGGGACATACTGTATCTGGATCAGAAGTAGTACACTATAGGGAATCGGGTAGGCCCTGGTCAAAACAAATAAACTATAATAACACAGCCCATGAAACAGGATAATTTGAATGAAGAACTCACCGGTTGGGTTGATGTTGAGTTGAGATAGGCTCAGGGGGAGATCCCTGGAGTCTGAGTCAGTGGGGCTTTGGAGGATATCATGCAGGGCATTCCTTCGTCCAGTTCTACCGGAGGCTATGAAGTCTGCATACGTTGCTTCAACTTCGGTCATCGCTGACACATGTTCACATAGCCACTCCTGAAACAAGGAAACAAGTGTCATTCACAACACTGAATAAATAGTAGTCAAAATATGTACTGTACATTGACCTGAATATCATTACAATCAGCAATACATATTACATTATAATAGCTTTAAAGATGTGTATGTTGCTAGGCCTTCACCAATCATAGCTGGATCAGTGGGATGGAGGTCAGAAAGTTTGCATGAGTTTAATTGATTGGACTGAAAACCTTTGCTGGGGAAATAAAGGTGCCACTCATTTTGCGATGATCTGTAGGTGATATATGACAATTAAATCAAATTAAATAGAAATGAGATCACTATAATACATTTCAGTCAACCATATAGGGTGCACTCACTCACACCCGTCGCTATGGGCGGGCCATAGGGGGCCGGGCCCGCCCCCAAAAATGCTTGTGCCCCCCCACTTGAGGGAATGTATTATTAAATATATGTACTGTAGGCTAATAACAATTGTGCCCTGCCCTCCCATGCATTTCATATGCCCCCCTTAAGACTGAGGTCTGGCGACGGGTCTGCACTCACTGCACACATTTTTGGGCCTGTATAGCAGATCATACACATCTTTCGTCCATCATTGTTCCTCAAAGGATGGCATCAAACAGCAGACCTGAGCCCGGTTTCCCAAAAGCATCTTAAGGCTTTATAAATGTATCGTTAGAACGGCTAAGTTCATCGTTAGAACCGTAGGATCCTAAGGTTCTAAGATGTATTTAGCCTTCAAATGCTTTTGGGAAGCCGGGCGATGATCAGCATATCTAATGCGCATCATTTCCTTGAAGAATACAGTGCAATACATGCGGTGACTTCGATGACATGCTCGTTGTTAGTCCGATATCAGAATCTTACCTTGAGTAATCTGTCATCCTCCGACTGTAAAATCCGTGCCACATTTTTGAGGGAGTGACATAAGAGGAATCTAGTCTAGTGGGCCTACTATGAAATCAAATCGATCGCACACGACGCGGATCGTCTACAAACCCCCATTTAGGTTTATAACCTATAGTCTTAACATACGATGCACGGTTATGGTACGCGCATCAATACGATACATTTAAAGCCCCAGCATCATTGCCTTACATTCCTTGATTGACAAGTTTTCATCGGTTCTGACCAATAAACAGCAACCTAACGCACATCCACACGATCATTGGATAGGGTGCACAAAAGGGATGAGAGATATTGGAGCGTCACAGCCGAATCTTAAACAACCGTCTTGTTCAATGTTCTGCCTCCTATATCAGAATTATATATTTTGTGCAACACTTATCCAGATTGCTTTTAGCTTTTCAAATCTATTTACCGCTACCATCTCTGTGGTTGCACTTGATGTGGTCCCCACTCCCCAGTAGCTCTCTAACACATTGCTAATGTTAAATAACAAATAGGGTACATTGGCGTTAAATCAAAATAATATGTGGTTTAGAGTAAAATATATATATATAATATGAGGGGTGAGGTAATGATCAGTCATCCCTGCAGTAATCAATGAGCCCACTACATGGTGCCATATTGTCCATGTAGCTTTTCAGTACAACACATTATATGACCAAGGTGGGGTTTTATTATAGCATTTCATCACATTACTGCCAAGCTGGGCACTGGGGAAACCTAGAGATGGTAAACTTGAGTTTAGCAATCTATACAATAGCAGAGCTCCACTGTAACATACCAATAACCCCCTCCGGTGTCCATCTTTTATTTACATCACACCTTTTTGAGGCTGTACATTCACATTTGTCAAAATGTTTGAAAACATGCTTTTGTTTTTATTTCTCAGAGTGTGACTCAAGCTGCCTGAGTAAAAGGACAAGCTACACTGCAATAGAGCAGTGGTGCCGCTCTCTCTCTTTATTTTTCATAGATTTAGTTAGATTGTGTTTGGGTTGGGGGGATGTGCATTGGGGGCTAAATCCCTGGCCTTTCATCCTATAATCTTCTCTTCAAGGTCACGTGCGAATGAGTTTTCTATATCCACCAGAAAGTGGACATTGATCCAAAACAGAAGCACTTGGGCTCAGACTTTGCCATTGTCTCTCAGGGAGACTGGCTCAGCTGGGGATTACAGCCTGGTTTCATCTACCAGGGCTGCGTCCCAAATGGCACCCTGTTACCTATGTAGTGTACAACTTTTTTACCAGAACCCTATGGTCCCTGGTCAAAAGTAGTGGACTACATAGGGAATAGCGTGCCATGTGGAACGCACCCCAGGCCAGCGCAGGGGGGAGCGCGGCTCACATGACATTACCACCCCATGCATGGTCTACTGGGCTGTTCTGTTGCTAATGTTCACCAAGGAACGCAATTATGGCACAATGCTCATTTGTGAGCAATTGGATTGTTTGACTTGTGTTGTGTGCTATGGGATATGGATGGTGGAATATTTCAACTTTTTGATTTGGCTGTGTGTGTGTGTGCGTGCGTGCGTGAAATCGGTTTTCCTCTTACTGTGTATTGTTCTCCTGAGTCCACTGACTACAGTGGGGAGAACAAGTATTTGATACACTGCCGATTTTGCAGGTTTTCCTACTTACAAAGCATGTAGAGGTCTGTAATTTTTATCATAGGTACACTTCAACTGTGAGAGACGGAATCTAAAACAAAAATCCAGAACATCACATTGTATGATTTCTAAGTAATTAATTTGCATTTTATTGCATGACATAAGTATTTGATACATCAGAAAAGCAGAACTTAATATTTGGTACAGAAACCTTTGTTTGCAATTACAGAGATCATACGTTTCCTGTAGGTCTTGACCAGGTTTGCACACACTGCAGCAGGGATTTTGGCCCACTCCTCCATACAGACCTTCTCCAGATCCTTCAGGTTTCGGGGCTGTTGCTGGGCAATACAGACTTTCAGCTCCCTCCAAAGATTTTCTATTGGGTTCAGGTCTGGAGACTGGCTAGGCCACTCCAGGACCTTGAGATGCTTCTTACTGAGCCACTCCTTAGGTGCCCTGGCTGTGTGTTTCGGGTCGATGTCATGCTGGAAGACCCAGCCACGGCCCATCTTCAATGCTCTTACTGAGGGAAGGAGGTTGTTGGCCAAGATCTCGCGATACATGGCCCCATCCATCCTCCCCTCAATACGGTGCAGTCGTCCTGTCCCCTT